GGAGAGAGAGAGAGAGGGAGAGAATCCCAGAGAGAGAGAGAGAGTCCCAAACAGGCTCTATGCTCAGCATTGGAGCCTGACGTGGGGCTTGATCCCGTGACCCTGGGATCATGACCTGAGCCAAAATCAAGAGTCGGATGCTCAACCGACTGAGCCACCAGGTGACCCTAAAATAATGCATTTCTTACGAAAACGAGAAAACTACTGCTTTCCCACTTTCGGACGAATATCGCCATTTCAAAACATACTCACGTTGACTCGTGATTTTGCTCCTGGAAAACATCTTTAGTAACACTGTAGCTCAAAGACCCTCTGAAATTATTGATGCTGAACCCTCTGACCCACCATCCCATGGGCTTTAACCCATCACGTGCTACGTATTTCCTAGCGGCGAAACTATCTCTGAGGCAGTGTATCTCACATAAGCTCTTTTGCTCATTTGCTTGGCAACATTAGGTTTCTCTAAGGTGAGCCTGCACAATCCTTCACAAAACAATTTCCACAGGCCTCAAACCCCTTACTTAAGTTAGTATTTACAAGTCCCAGATACTTACCACATTATAATAGGACCCAAATAGCTGATGCTGAAGTAATTTCAATATTATACCAGAGAGGAAAAAGGTTCCAAACGTTGGAAAAGTTCAAAAGTAGACTTTAGAAGAAAAATATAACTACTTTAAAAGTATTTGATTAAAAACAAAACTCATTATAAAGCTACACAAGTTCAATATTTTACAGAGAAGTACGCCGTGTGCTGTCCGACGGGGAATCTAGGATTCATCCGACTTCCCACGCACGGGCTTCAATCAATACCCCTCCCAGATGAAAATCAATGTGTTTTAATAACAACACAATGAATAATGCTAATGATAATACCACAAGATGAATTCACTCAATAATGTTTCTACCAAGCAGAATTATTTTCCTTCTGTAAGACCGTGCATAGTAAACTGCATGAATCAAAGGGTAATAGATTTTTAGGGCGTAAGAACAACATCAAGAAAACCTATAATGATAGATCACCTTTCAAGATAAACCCAAACTCTGTATACCTTTGTTTACTGTAACCCTCCTCTCTCTCTCCCTCCCTCTCTCTCCCTCTTTCCCTCCTTTCTCTCCCTCTCTTTCCCTGTTCCTCTCTCTCTCACTCTCCCTCTCTCCCTTTCCCTCCCTCTCTCTCCCCGTTTCCCTCCTTCTTTCTCTCCCCCTCTCTCCCTTTCCCTCACACACACAGGTGCACACACACACACGCACACAGTAAACTGTCTATTTGGACTTGGTTGTGTCCCCACATTCACGTCCAGGATGTTGTCAGGAGGAAGTGGGTCTGAAATGGACGAATACACCGCTGTAACCCCAGCTTTCAGGGGCAAGACTGACTCCCACCTTATAAAAAGGGGAGGGGGCTGCCTTAGGCTGCACCGTGGACCCTGGAGTGCTGTCTTTAAAGGGATCAGGAATGCTCCGGTGACATAAAGCTTCAAAGAGTTCTGGATTCCCTTACCGCGACTTCCCAGCTGGGAGAGGGGTAGAGACGGACCAGACATTTTGTGGTTGGCCATTTATTGGGGGCATGGGAGCAAACTAAATGTCCGTCGACAGACAAGTGGATAAAGAAACTGTAGGGGCGCCTGGGTGACTCAGTCGGTTGGGCCTCTGACTCTTGGTTTGGCTCAGGTCATGATCTCACGGTTCATGAGTTTGAGCCTCACGTCGGACTCTGTGCTGACAGTGCAGAGCCTGCTTGGGGTCCTCTCTGTCTCCTCTCTGTCTGCCCTCCCTGCCTCTCTCTCTCTCAAAATAAACAAATAAACTGAAAATTTTTAAGTAGTGTATGTTTCACCAAAAAAAAAAAAAAAAAAATGTAGAGAGCACATACAGTGACCTATTATTCAGCCTTGAAAAAAGAGGAAATCCTGCCATCTTGTAACAACACGGATCAAGGCCATTGTGCTCTGCGAAGCAAGCCAGGCACGAAGGACACACACTGCATGGTCCCACTGACATGAGAGTCTAAAGGAGTCAAATGCAGACAAGCAGAGAGCAGGACAGTGGATGCCAGGGGCCAGGGGAGGGGGACACAGGAAGGTGTTCGTCAAAGGGCACCCCGCTGAGCAATCCCGCCGGTGACCCCTGTCCCGGACGGCTTCACATAGCTCAGAAACCCACGCGGCTCAGAGCCCTGCTCAGAACACTCCAGACACCCCGCTTCGTGCGCCCGAGATCTGGGACCTGCGTGTGTTGTGCTACAGGACAGCAGGGCCCTGCCTTCCAGCCTGTTCTACGAAGCTTGGCCCAATATTAACCGTAGTGTATCCTCATGCCATGACTTGTTTACAGTGACTCTTCCTGGCAGAATTCAAACGTGCCGAGTGAAAGAAAGAAAAGAAAGAAATGAAACGCAGACACTGGCTTTATTATGTGAAGATGGAAACTTCCCAAGCTACTGCCTCCTGAGTCTTTGGGTTTCGATGCACCAGGCCCCAAAGGGTTAACTCCCCCTCCCCCGCCTCCCCGGCCGTGAAGTTCTCATAGGCATTACCTGGCTTCTTCCAGGACTTTCCCCATCACTTTCTTCTTCTCTCCATGGTTAACATCTTCATTTAAATCGGTTCCACCGAAGATGATTCCAAAGGGAATCCCGTGACCTGCAAAATTATGACGGTTAGTGAGGCAGAGCGTGGCTTTGCCAACAGCCCTCGCCAGCCCACCCCCAAGCAATGGAAACCCGGGGACCATGCTTTGTTGTTTGTTTCATTTTATCCAGCTCGCCTGAGGAACAGAATAGGTATCCCTGTTATAAACATGACACGGGGATTGGTCATGTCAGACCACGGGTGCCAGGACTATTTTAAATCAATTAGCGTTAAATTTTAACAGGTGAAAACCAGTGCTGTGGCCACCATCCACCAGAACCGAGCTCATTGGAGACGGGCTCATCCGGCATCTGTGACGGAGAAGGAGCAGTCCACGTGCAGCCAGGCTGGGGATCAGAGTAGCAGGTGCCGTGCTAGCGAGGGCCCAGGGGAGACGTAGGGCGCCCCGGGGCCACCATGGCTTCAGGGAGCATGATGCAGGGCTGTTGTAGGAACCCGAGCCATCCGAGACCCCGCACATGTAAAGGAAGAGGGGATCTGCCAGGGAGCAAGTCTGTTTGGAGTGAAGCACTCTGGGCTGGTGACAGGCTGAGTCAGGGGACTTTGGATGAGCTCAGACGTGTGAGGCATCGGGTGTGCACAGATCAAGCCACATGACGTGCTTAGCAGAAGCGACTCCCCAGAGGGACTTGCAGAGTCAGCCAAAAATTGCAGGAGACACTGGCCAGCAAGCCACCAAACAGACCAGCTCGAACCGGAGTGTTCCTACTGGGATTTCTCAAACCAGCCATCCCGCCCGAGATTCAGTGTGTCGGTCACGGGGGACTCGCCTTCCCTCTTCTTCGCCTGAGAGTTCTTTCTGTCAGTGCAAATTAGCACATTCTGTCTTTTTTCCTCTCTGGCAAGGTGGCCCTTTCCCTGCAATCTGACGGCTAAGGATTCAGCCTCTAGGACACTCAGCCCAAGAATCGCACCCACGGGCACCACGAGGTGGCTGGGGAAAGCAAAGATGGGAAGCAACTCAGATACAACAGTGAAGACCAGCCTTTAGCAAAAAAGAAAAAGAAGAAGAAGAAAAAAAGAAAAAAAGAGGGGCACCTGGGTGGCTCAGTCAGTGAAGTGTCCGACTTTGGCTCAGGTCATGATCTCGCAGTTCATGAGTTTGAGCCCCGCGTTGGGCTCTGCGCCGACAGCTCAGACCATGGAGCCTGCTTCAGATTCTGTGTCTCCCTCTCTCTCTGCCCCTCCCCTGCTTGTGCTGTCTCTCTCTCTCTCTCTCTCTCTCTCTCTCTCTCTCTCTTAAGATAAACATTAAAAAAATTTTCAAAATGGGGCACCTGGGTGGCTCAGTTAGGCACTCGACTTCGGCTCAGGTCATGATCTCGCGGTCCGTGAGTTCAAGCCCCGCGTCGGGCTCTGTGCTGACAGCTCACAGCCTGGAGCCTGTTTCAGATTCTTGTCTCCCTCTCTCTCTGCCCCTCCCCCACTCTCTGTTTCTCTCTCAAAAGTAAATAAACATTAAAAAAATTAAAAAGAAAAAGAAACAAGAGACGCATATGTTTTGTGTGTGTGTGTTTACACGGACACAAAAAGACTCAAAACAATCTACTGTCACATGAGAAAAATCAAGTGCAGACTGGCATATATATATATGTATATGTATCTACATATATACATACACATATACATATAAATATATAAATACACATTTGTATATATGTATAAGTTCTGTGAAAGAATACACAAAATACTGGTTGTCATTGCCCCTGGACAAGGGACCCACAAGGCCACAGATCTGGGATGGGACGGAAACTTACTTTTCACTCTAACATTTTATGTTGTCGGTGCTGTTTACCATGGACAGGTATGCCCTCTTCCAAAACCACAGGTGGTTGTAGAAAACCACTCCCGGCAGAGATAAGTCACCTCGTGTCATGGGTGTGGACTTCTGGGGATGCCGAGACAGGGGGAATGGGTTTAGCATGTGGGACGGACACCGATCTTTGGGGACGGGAGGCAGGTATGAGGTGGGAAGAATAATGGGCCCCAAAGATGTCCATTCCTAATTCCTGGATCCTAAGAATGTTTCAGGGGAGAGGCAGGTTAAGCTATTTAGAATCGAGGGGGCCAGTCAGCTAACCCTAAAATGCGAGACATTATCCTGGATTACCGAGGCAGGCCAGTGTAATCACGGGGGCCTTACAGGTGGAAGAGGCGGACCAATGAGCTCCCAGGGCCGCCATGTGAGGAGGACCAGACTGACCCTCACCGGCTCTCGGGATGGGAGTGCGTGTCCCTCCAGAAGGTGGAAAATAAGGAAACAGATTTGCCACCAAAGCCTACAGAGAGAAACACAGCCCCCACCAACATCTTGCTTTTAGCCCCATGAGATCCCTTTCAGCTCTGTGACCTGGCGAGCTGGAGAACCATATATGTGTGTTGTATTGTGCCCCTGGGCTTGTGCGAATTGTGACAGTGCCGACAGGGGGCGAATATGGATGGCATCCTCCTGACAAAAACTGCCACTTTAGGAGGGGAAAGAAAATCGCAGAGGAAGTCTCGTTCCTTGAAATCTCCAAAGACAGAACAGTGGACACCTGAAAGATATTACACCGAGTAATCACAGAAGCTGCTCGAAAGTTATGAGAACGTTCCGGAATGAAAATGATCAGCCCCGCTAGTTAATTAAGCCAACTGACAAACGCTCACATATATCAAACCTAATTTAGTAGGAAAAACATCAGACTAACACCAGACCACCCTGGCTCAGAATCCAGGTTCTCCACTTGGAAAACGCGTAACTGAGTGAGTCACTGAGTTTTTCTGAACCTCAGCCATCTCGTCTGTGAAATGGAGGTCACAATTGGCTGACGTACTTGAGAGATTAAATGGCTCCCTGCATAAGCCGTAAGGGTACAGCATGGACTCCATGTGATACAGTATCAGTGTGCTTTACGCTGAAGAAGTTTCAAAATACATAAATCCAGAAGCTGTCTGAATTAAGTCAGCACCTGGGAGAATGGAACGTGGGATATTTCATTTACTTTTCTATCTTTTTCTCAACACTTGTTCTACGGTTAAGAAAACAAAGCAACGCACCCAAAATTCTAGAAGTCCTCTGCTATAGCATGATGTGTATAAATGTCTGCAAACTCCTACTGACCCTTCAAAACCTCCCTCAGCCATGCCCTTCTCGCTAACGTGTTCTCCAAGTTCCTCAGAAGTCACCCACCGCACTTGGATGCCAGGCCACGTATCGTAAGGCTTTGGGATTGATTTGTAGGTTGGAAAATCCCGGAGAACAGGAATTGTGGCTTATTAGTTTTGTACCCCTTGCTCCTAATGCGATACCTGCTAAAAGTTCAATCTTCCAACAGCACTTGTGGAAATGAGCTGAGCCTGAGAACTGGGATACAAACTATTTCCAAGTGCATTTACTCAGAGCCACCCAAGCGGCTGGTCATATTTCACAGATCAGTGGCTCTGCTAGACATGTCTCATTCCCAATAGTCTGCTGGGAAGAAACACCACAGGTTCCTGAACCCGGCTCCTTTATCAGCCACACAGCACCACCTGCTTCCTCACCAGGTTCAAGCCTGAGCAGATTCTCAACGAGAAACGGAGAAAGGGCGTCATCAAAACGCTTCTCATGCAGCTTCCTGCCAACGTCAGGTCGCCTGGGAAACTTGCTTGGTGCGCCATTTAGGGCACATGAAGGAGACCCCAGGGGGCGTCCTGCACAAGAGCAGTCTTGTGCTTTTAGACAAGGGTAGCTGTGAAGTTCTGTTCCCATATACTTGAACGACTGGTGGGTATACACGTCAAAAGTCTTTCACAGACGTGTCCAGGAGGGAAGAACAAATACAATGTGTTACTTTGAAAGCTAATCTGGTCATCGGTCCGTCGCTTAAATAAAGCATTGAAATTCATATGGTTGTTTTTTTTTAATAACTGCATTGCACCCGGAATATAGCTGCAGTAAATATTCATACTGTTAATGTGCTTTTTCTCGTCCCTTGACTATTGGTCTTAGCAACCGTGATTACCTAATTATCCGCTCAGCAAATACTGGTTTTAAAGCGAAAAGTGAACTTCCGTTTGTCCATGCTGTGAAGGTTTGTTTTATTTAGATATATTTACTGCGCCCAGACATACACAAGTGATGAGTGACGAGCGACTGTTGGGCAGTATGCATTGGCGGCAGCTGTAAAAATGCACATGCCTGGGAGGCTGCTGTGCCACTCTGAGAAAATCCTAGAGACGGGTCCCCAAGGTTCCTGCAGAGACCGGCTCATCACAACATCGTTCACAGTTGAGGGGAAAAACGGAAAGTAAGACGTGGCTGTTCATAATCACACCGTCGAAGACCATTCAGTGACGGGGAAATGTCCCTGATGTGTTGGTAGGTAAACCAGACTGTGGAACTGTCATAGGATCAGCTTTTATTATTTATTTGTTTATTTTATTTAAATTCAAGTTCGTTAACATACGATTTAGTCTTGGCTTCAGGAGCAGAACCCACTAATTCATCTCTTACCTACAACACCCAGTCCCCATCCCAAAAGTGCCCTCCTAATGCCCATCCCCCCCACCTCCCCTCCATAAACCTTCAGTTTGTTCTCTGTATTTGTCTCTTAGGGTTTGTCTCCCTCTCTGTTTTCATCTTATTTTTCCTTCCCTTCCTGTATGTTCATCTGTTGAGTTTCTCAAATTCCACGGATGAGTGAAGTCATATATCTTTCTCTGACTGATTTCGCTTCGCATAATACCCTCTAGTTCCATCCACGTTGTTGCAAATGGCAAGATTGCATTCTTTTTCATTGCCGAGTAGTATTCCATTGTGTATAAACCACATCTTCTTTATCCATTCATCAGTCAATGGACATTTCGGCTCTTTCCGTGATTTGGCTATTGTTGAAAG